TTGATTCAGGTTTCTTTTTAATTAACCGGTGAATACATTTCGAAATGAATAGTAGTATAATAAACACCGAATGCATAACTATGTATTACGAGACGTTTCGTACAATATCTTAGTACATCCTCAGTCAATGTACATCCACAGTCTTAGTACATCCACAGTCAATGACTGAGGATGTACTAAGATATTGTACGAAACGTCTCGTAATACATAGTTATGCATTCGGTGTTTATTATACTACTATTTACATCTTGTTGACTGGTATCACCGTTAGTAGCACTATTATTACTGCTATTCCCACTGTCATCGTTTTGTTCTTCTACCATATTTACTGGATGGAAATCATCGTATTGTGCAACATCATCCTCTAGGTTCTCAACATCGTGCAGGGCTTCTGTAGCTGCTTCTCTCTCTGCATTGTTGTCCGTATGCATGATAATATCCTCTAACATGTAGAATGCACTATCTACTGCATTGTTCTATAATGATAAAAAAGCTTCAAACATCATAGATTTCGCACACTACTTAATATCACTCACCAAACCTGGATAATTTTCATCGGATCTACGTGTTTCAGCCATTATCACTAATACAATCTAGAACTAAATATTCAATGTGATTTGTATTTGAATGAAAAGTCTATAAGCGTAGCTATAATTATTATTATAACATAGCTATTTTTGAATCTAAGAACATTAGGCAGCAGTATACCTTACCAAAAGAATGACTATCTTTATGAAATCGGCGTTATTCACCCAAAACAATGTTATTTCTTTTGAAATTCCTTTGTCCTTGTGCTCTCTGATCAATATTCACCAACACATAGATGTCTTCTAGCAAAATATTTCTTGCTCAATAATTCTCTGTGTATTTCAAAACATCTGCTTTACTTTTATGCTGTTGTTCTCAAATAAGAAGCACATGTGTACAACATGAGACAAAATCTATGATCATCAGAAAAAGATACATACAAAAAATGCAGATAAAACAAAAATTAATCTTGTTTTTAGTTTGTTAATGGACATACTTGTCAACACATTTTCCCAGAATACCATTTGCTGCGGGTAATTTGCATTACTTTCTTTTGTTTCTTTTATTTATTTAGACTGAGCTTTCAGATCAATGATTCTGCATCAGAGTCAAGATTGTCTACGGATCTTCCGCGCAGGTTCGCCCACTATTACGTTCACTATTAGCCGCGAAAATTTCACTTGTCCCATCGTCTAGAGCATCAAAAATAACATAAAGGTTTCACTTACGCTGTTTTGAGAAAACATGTGGAAAGTGGTTTTCTAGACACCTCAAGTTTTCGATGAGGGCGAAAGCGAAATCGGTGAAAATGAACGAAACATTGCATAATTATACATCAAATTGTAGCTCTTGACGAATTGATTCGAATGGTGAAGGAATTCGGTCTCGATCTAACTGTGAATATACTGTGAAATATACTGTGTAGAATCGGTAAATAAATTAATACGGGGACGTCTTTTTTATATATCCGCAAGTTCTTCTCCTGCGTCTCTAAGTAGTTCAGGAGATTGATGGAGGATAAATATCTCACTTTAACTTTATGCTGTTGAGAAAATAAATTTTTCTAAACGGGTAGCAAAAACAAGGAAATTCACTTGTATTTTGCATTCATTAATAGTAATTTCTTATCGGATAAATAATCAACTGTCAGAAAACGTGTATAAATACAAAAATACTACTGGAGAATGTATTATTTGAACCCACCAGCTGAGGCAGTCCCTGCTGCGCAGCCATCATCAACTGCAACGTATGTAACGGGTGTTTAAAACAGTACATTGAAAAAAAGCAGTAAGGGATGTATTGCCATTGACTTCAGTGCAGGAACCACTCTCTTATGTGCAAAGAAAGCAATCATTAATCGACTTAGTGAATGCAGTTGTTCTGAAACAAGTCTTTCAACTGGAAATTCCAGTAGAGATAACTTTCAACCAGTAATACAAAGCTAAAAATATTATTTATATTTTAAATTGCGTCGCCAGATATTCAACCCGAGCCCGACCCGACCTTAGGGTCGGGTCGGGTTGCAGGTCTCTACGCGTCATACTTGAGGGCCATCCCTGCTAAGTAGAATTAGGAAAACCCGAATGATGTACTAAGTTCATGCCATATCATGCAATATATAAGTCTCTATAAAATTGAATAGCTTTTCGGACACCCAATTGATTTTCTGTCACTGTATTTATTTCTGGAACCTGCATACAGTTTTTCCAGGATTCAACCAAGAATGTAATGCGCATAATAGTGGAGTGCTGACCGAAATGGATATCTCTGTGTACACGGAAGTCGTTTGTCTCTGAGTGACGATGAGGACGCCTCTACGTACACAGAGAGCTTTTACTTAATTACAGATGAGGTCCACTTTGTATGCACTGCGGCAGTTTGCGTCAACACGGTTATAATGCTGATTGTGCCGGTTATGTCCGTGAAGTCTGTTACGACCATTATGCCCATTTTAAATCTGTTTCCTATATCTTTACAAGAAATCAATTTCCTGGAAACTAATAGAGCGCATCGAATTGATTACCAGGGATATCTTTAATATGTCTAGTTTACATGTTTGATGTACGGAAGTCGTTTGTCTCTGAGTGACGATGAGGGCGCCTCTACGTACACAGAGAGCTTTTACTTAATTACAGATGAGGTATCAGACATCAAACGCTGGCATCAGAAGAAATTATCTTAATAGCGAGGGTGAGGGTGGGCGCGTACCGGGTTAGGTTCTCTTAACCCGAGTAGGTCTCTAATGACGCGTCAGTTAAAATCAAAATTATACCGGTTTGTAGAGCTCAACGAGCTGTTTTCTAATGGCATAAAGGGTTCTTCCCGATGATGCTTTCAACTAGACAAAATCAATCAATTTTACTTGTGAGACCTCACATTCGAGATCCTGATTGT